GTTTTTAGGGTTTAGGGTTTAGGGATTAAGCAATATGTGTATATATAAATTTATATATATATATATATACATATTGCTTAGTTAATAATATGACGCTGTTGGTAAAGATCGTACGTACGAGCATCCATCTCAATACTGTACCCCCACACACCCACACAGAACCATACAAAGTCGCGTATTGTGCTTGTGAAAGATCTGCCGTGCAACCCAACCATGGAGCGGAAGGGGAGAGACAACGGCTATACACGCGTATTGGATGAGTTCCACGATATTATGCGACAGTACGTGTCGGCCGCGATCGGTGCGCCGGTGGTGTTCATAGTGAGTGAGGCTTCGGCTGGCAGTGGAGGTGGGTCTGCTGTTCACAGGTACGTACATATGTGCATATAAGTGTATGTCGTTATAGATACACTTGTGCCAATGCGGTTTCGATCGGATATCGGTTCGTAGCTACATTTTGACATACTTATTGCGTAGGGACATAGGAATATACAATGTCTGGCTCGAGATACTGTAAGTGTGAATAGAAGCGCAAGTATTATGTACCCAGTTCTTGTTATCCTTCAAAATACTATCGAGGTTACTATCTGCTTCTCCTTCCTGAAGGTAGCCACGCACAAGTTTGGACGTAAGTATATTGACATGAAGGCTGAGTAAGCTTTCTGCCACGTCCTCCCTGTTCCTCTCAAAAGCCTTTTGCAGAGTGTCTATTTGCGTTCATGAACCATTACTTTCATTTTTGGCCTTTATCATATGCACTCATTGTAATATTCATAGCCTTTTATAATCCGTATCATATTGACGCGTACTATGCTGCATTAACAGGCTCTTCCCGCCAGATACTTTCGCTCCCCCGGCTTGTTCGCAGATACAGTTCAATGCTGTGAACATGACGCTTATGAAGAGAGTGCTGGCGCTTATTTGCAAGCACGAAAAACTGGATCTGGATAAGAGCACAGTCGAAAAGGTGGGTGGGATTAGCTGGTAGGTCAAGTACGCACAATTGACAACTAGCTTTCAATACATGTACTCCTAGTGGATAAACACTCAATAGTACACTGTAGGTACTCACAGTTGACAACTGCACCACAGTACACGCGCGGTTGATACCTACGCCAGAGTATTTATATTGCCTTTCATTAGTTGACTCGTCAAAGTTCGAATGGAGACTCATTCAGTAGAACGAAGTCAAATTGCACCGGGCTCACTGGTGAAAACTATTTATGAGACGTTCACTGAATTAAACGCGCGATCTTTTGCATTCGTTTGTTCTGGGCATTAGGGCCCATTGTGAATATTCGTAACACATTTGCAACGTAGCGTTGCTGATATTGATAGTCAGTTTTTTTCTTCTGATTCATCGTATCGTTCATTTGACATCTCTTTTTAGCTGAAATTGTATACGTATATATATTATATAAACAGTGGGCGGAGGCAGGAGGTGGCGACATCCGCAATGCCGTGAGCATGCTGCAGTTTGGCACTGTGGTGTCTAAAACTCGAGGTGACGCTTCAAAAGTCAGCGCTAAACGTAAGCCATGTTGAATCCATTGATTCGGAGTTTTGAATGTAGAGGCGTGTCACAGCGAACTTCAAATGATAGCGCCCAACTCGCCTACTTGATGATGAAGTGTGGGTGTGTGATCGAGTGTCTTCTGTGTAGTAGTACACGTGAGCATCGGTGCAGTTTGGTGGTAATGGATGAGTGTATGCGTGCACGTCACGCTGCAGTACTTCTGAGTTAACGATCGTACAGCAGATTTGAACGACTAGAATATCAGGCCGAATACAGTTATATCTTTACCTTCGCGCTCGCTGATCGGATGCATGTATATCACTTCGTATGACCTGATGTTGTGTCATAGTTGTGTTACAAGTCCCTTACCCTCACACGTGCCCAAGCCCTTCAGCAAATCTTGCTTCTTTTCAATTTATATTTTGTCTGTGTGGCATTCCTGTGGTAAATACCATTTCCAGAGTCGACTACCTTGAATTTTACGTCTATGTCACATATTCGGATCATGCATACATATACACATATACATATATGCTGGTATTTATACATTTACACATACACATATATGCTGGTATTCCACCCACAGGTGGCGCAAAGAAAATACGTGGCAAGGCGGACAAAGATGAACATTCGAACAACGAACAATTCGATCCTACAAGTGCTGGAGTGTGCGGGAAAGACGATACGATTTTTCTCCTTCATGCGGCCGGTAGGTTGTTCATAAAGGCTTTATATAGATATAGAGGCTTTGTATAGATATGTATGAGCGAAGTATCGCTGAGCTCGCAAAATCGTGTTTCATCAGGTATATCTGATATCATACAGGCCGTATAAAAATCTTAGGGACGAACGTGCAGTGTAATTACACAATTGTATAGAGAACACGAGTGCGTGGATGATTTGTTGGAGTGCTAGAACTAGCGAGGTAAGCTATTGCTGTGGTTGAATTCGAAGTTAGAACCTTTCTTGCCAGGGTGTAAGCAATATTGATATACGCGGTTTAATGCGTTGCTTAAATGCTTACTGTTTCACCCAAGGTCGGGAAACGATAGCAACAAAAAAGTCGCTCGAATATGATCACATCGCCACAGTAATCATAGCAGCTGATTTTATATATGAATCTAACCAGTCGATGTGTATGTTCCTTTGCTTTCAACTTATGTGCACAAATTTTGTTGCAACTACAGGGAAGGTTCTACACAACAAGCGTACCATCCTGGTAAAACATTCGGCCGAGTATAAGAAGTTCGATAAGCGATTGCCCAAGCAAAACCAAAGGTTCGACTTAAAATACGACCCAGAAGAATTAGTACAGGTATCGAGTGTCGAATAGCCCCGACTCCATATTCTACCGATCTCTTGAATAGTTGAAGCTTGCCTCTATTTACGCTTAGCATTAATTCCGATCCAAGCTCGCCAACAACTCCACAAAGATATGTTATAAGACCACAATATCTTAGTTAGGGCGTCGAAGACTCACATCTGCAGGATAGGTCAACCGTAACGTGTGTGATTCGTATGTTCGTGAATGTTTAAATTTGTCCACTGCTTGCCGGTGTAGCGCCCCTAATGTGGAATCATTCTGGTATACCAATCGCAAGTCAGCGAGTGCACGACTCAGATTAGGTACGTTTGCACTGAGATAGGGCATGTGCATAGTCGCGCAGGTGGTACATCGGTAATGCTTTAGTTGACAGGGCACCTCTGCACCAGACCACTCACAGGACAGCATCGATATGGGTCACCATCACTTCTGCAGGTGTTATATATTTAGTTTCTCACCAACAGATAATTGGTTATGAAAGCTAAACAAGCATTTGATCGTGAATTGCGGGTTAAACACTGACTGTTGAGTATCAGAGTGATCGTCACTTGTAAATAGGTTGCTGTAACCGAATAAGAATCAACCTGAGAATAGGAACTTTGCATATTTAGGCCCGTATGTATTACTTTATCGATATATATTGTGATTTTGTACCAGAAAGTGCGCACGTCCGGACTGAAATTCCGACTTCTTCTGCACGAGAATTGCGTCCCGTTCTTCAATGATATGGATTCCATGGTGGAGGCGAGCGAATACCAGAGCGATGCAGATATATTGGACCATTGGCAGGTGAGTGCATATCAATTCACTAAAATTTATCGCGAAGGTTTATATATTATTTTGTAGTACGCTACAATAGTCAATTTGGCTCCTATTTATCGCCTTGTGTCCGTTGTCACGTATTATGTCTATATCCAGCACATATTCATCATTTTTCCTTGCAAGGGCATATCGAAGTAATAAATGTACCAGTGATTGTAGCACCGGAATTCACCACCAGAATACATCATTTCTACAAAGGCTTATTAACATAAGCATCCCAGTATATCGCCAAACAACAGTATCGACAATTACTAAAGCAAGCATATGTTTACATTCGGATCTGTGTTCTTAGCATCCTCTCCAACAAGAGCTGGCTACTCTTGTGTCAGTTCGTGGTCTATCATACTCTCGGCCAGGCACCGACGCGAAAGGCCCCGGGTGGATGCCCTTGCACGGAACTAAGTGGTAAGTAGCAATTCAAATCTTTTATATATATATATATATATTTATATATATATATATATATATATATATATATATATATATATATATATATATATATATATATATATATTATTATATATATATATATATAAACACACACAC